GCAAAGAAAATCACGACCGTGGAGGAGGTTTGGATACCCAGTGTTAATTAGCATAGATCTTGACGATTTTACTTCACCGTTTACTCCTTAGTTTTTGCTTCGATTGGGAAGATACATCAAACCCTCGAGACAGTGTCTCAAGTAGGCTATCCAAACACCTTGAACTTCGTCAAAAATACTTCGCAGCGCGTCGTATTTCTCGGTGTTTGGATATCCCGATGAAACACTGTCTTTCGTGTTTGATATATCACTTCAAATTGAAATCGCCCTAATTTGTCGTAATACCAGTTGAACTGTGAGGACATCGACAATAGCAGAAATCTCATCAAACTTTTACAGGTCACAGCTTAGGCTCCACATTACGCTGGAGAAATTAGACAACGCGACCTTCACCGGTTATTTGTATTTGTATTTGAGGAAAAAAAATCACCTGATTATCGTGACGTTTTCAAAATGTTTTCCGCCTACACTTAAACGCAAAGCCGGCGCGTTTTCAAATTCCTCCGGCTTGAAGGGTATTTTCGAAATGCTCCGTTTTTGTGACGGATTAGTGTGGACGGTAGGTCTAACCGTAGAAATAAAGTTTTCAAATTTTTGCGGCCTGGTGTGGACGAGGCCTTATAATTGTAGGTTACATATGAATCTGAGTCCAAGCAAGATTGATCTCGTGACAATATCCTTTTAAATTTTGCCCAGTTAATAAAAATGGAATTGGAAATTAAAGATTTTGGCGGCCAGTCTAATAAAGTGGCTCGACAAGACACAATCAGTACATTGGGGCATCGAGATGTTTTAGGAGCAAACCATGCAAGGAACTTGCAATGTTCACAGACACGCCCGCCGCCACCCCTCCTCCACCCCCTTAGAAGATTTTGAGGCAAAACCTGCATCCAAAAAGATGGAAGGGTACATGCAGTTTAGTGCCAAGGTAACTCATATGTAACGCAGGGTTAGCGTGTATTTCAGTCTGCAAATTCACAGTTTTCGCAAGTGACGAATGGCCAACGTGTCCATTCATTTCTCTGTCAAACATTTACTGACAAAAAATCTTGTCTATTTTGCGCTTCTAAAGTTGCAGCCTATCACCAAAGGTAATCCGGAGGCATCTTTTAAATACTTTTGGCTGAAGCAGCAGGAAAATAGTGGTCGCGGAGTCGTTTATAGCTAACCCCCTCATTTGAGAGACTGCCTTAAAAAGTATTTCTGAAGGGTCTTGGGCTTTTATTTGAGTCCATTGCGTCAAGCACAAACGAGGAATGGAAGGTTTACCCTATTCAGCCGGGGATTTTTTTTCCTGCGCGAGCCTGCGGTTGCCCCGGCCCCCTCCCCTTCGCCTTCCAACCTCTCAATAAGCAAGTTCGAAAATGGTTAAGTGGCTATTTGACACTGACTGTCAAGTGTAATCGAAACAGCCATTTTCATGTTTGATCTCTTTGTGAATGACAATCTCATTCCAGGGCTCGATTTTTGGGAGAGCTATTGTAGAGTATCCAAAGGGTTTTTGAATTCAGAAAACTATACAGCAAGAAGAAAACACTGACTAGGTATAAATATCCTGATATTTATTACAATTTGTCTTTTCTTTTTGTAAGAGCTAGGATACAAAGGAAC